GCCCCTTTAGTCATGATGTCATCACCAAGTAAATGAGGACTGCTAACCTTTTGATTTCTTCAGATGTTTAACAGTGACTCCGCCCCTTTAGTCATGATGTCATCAGGAGGCTCATCAAGCAGAGGACTGCCATCCTTTTGATTTCTTCAGATGTTTACCAGTGACTCCGCCCCTTTAGTCATGATGTCATCACCAAGTAAATGAGAACTGCTAACCTTTTGATTTCTTCAGATGTTTACCAGTGACTCCGCCCCTTTAGTCATGATGTCATCAGGAGGCTCATCAAGCGGAGGACTGCCATCCTTTTGATTTCAGCAAATGTTTAGCTCGTTTACAGGTTTGAGTTGCACTGTTTTTACACGGCCCAGGATGCGGCGCCCTGAGCGAGTTCTGCTGAGCTCCACTCTGTGATGTTCTGATTTTATGTTGGCTGTTTTTAATGAATCGTTTCTTTTTAGAGACTGGAGTGTGGCTCAGGGTTTGTAGGATCCTGTGGCATGTTTTCTTGTCTCTGTCGGGTGTTCTGACTGAATTCTTGTTCTCTTTGAGCCATATCAGAAAAGTCTGCAGAACGTCCGTTTGAACTGTAAAGTCGAGCAGAACCTGTTCGTAGCCATGTGATGCCTAAGCTTTTAAATGTTCTTCTGGTCCAAGGGCACCTGCTTTACCGTTTAAAGGGGTAGATTTTTGGAAGTGGGGTTGAGTGAAGTGGTTGAGCAATCAGTGACTTACCTGCAGCTGCCGTCTCTCAGAACAGCTGATTAGAGCAGGAAGCATTCAGGAGGGAATTTCCACCAAACTAAAACAACTCAAAGTCAAGGAAAGTTTATTTATATACATTTATTGAATTTTTAACAGCAACAAAAATTCAAGACATAAAAGAAATTGTAGGAAAAAGTACAACAAAACCCTTCAAAAAGGAATAACTGTAATGATTACAAACATTTTAAAGTGCCACATAAATAGTTCACTGTAAGATATTTACATTTCATCATAGGGTAATATAAACATGTTTGTGTCCTAACAAATACAATGCGTTATGATAAATAAATAAAAAACCGATCATTAAATAGCTGTTATGTCACATTAATATTTAGGTCAATAAAGCTTTCGCTGTCATTGACCCTTTAAAAATAATTCCCAGATCTTTCCATTTCCAGATGTATTTAGTTTGTAATAAACAGTAACATCGGGTTTGAGATTCATCTCGTGGTGAACGCGAACGATTCTCAACTTTCGAATGTCAGAAACCTTTGCCGAGACGAGTGGATTAGTCGTCGCCCCTCTGTGCCGTTTGTCCCAGTAGAGTTGCCGTAGATTCCTGATATGTTGCAAAAAGCCACGTTTTCTCATCTTTTCTTGGCTGAACCCTGAATAATACGTGCTAACAAAGTTATCATTGATCCATAGAATTATTTAATCTGTAGATAACATTTCCAGAGATGAGCACGATGCTGATAGCGTTAGCTTTTTTACAACGTTTTCAACTATGAGTTAGCATCGATGCTAACAGTTGGTCAGCAGCCCGTGATTAGTGTTTTTATTTTTTTGGTACATTATTGTGCACTCTTTAGGCAAAACACAAATGATTATGTAAAATAGGCCAATGGGAGGGGGGGGTGCAAATGTTAATGAAGGTGGGCTTGTGATCAAAAGGTTGCTGGTTCAACTCCAGTGTTTCCCCTACCATTATTCAAGCAGTGCACCCCGCCCTGTCAACAGAACGTAGCGCCCCGCCTACCGACACCCCCCCACACACACACACACAATCGCCAGCACTTACGTAGCGCTATGCTAGCGACGCACAGTACAAATGTGCTAGCTAAAGAGATATGAGTATGGAGGTAGCGCTCCGTCCCCACTAGGGCCGAGCTGTCTCCACCCCCATCCCCCCGCTCGAAGGCTGTCGGTACATACAGCGTGCAACACAGATGTGCCTCCACCCCCGAGTTGACAAAAATTGCGGAAATAGGAGCGCCCTGCCAAGACAAGTAAACTAGGAGAAACGATGAACTCCCTGGGCCGATGACGTTAAAATGTGGATGGGAAAGGTGAAACACCCACATCTGCCTCCACCCTCGTTGCCCCACCGTGGGCCCTTGAGCAAGGCCCTTAATCCCCTCCATCTCCTCCCTCGGGCGCTACCACAGCTCTCTGCTCCACACAGAGGGCTGTGGTAGCTCAGTGGTCTGCGGTTGTATCAGGAGGAGCATCCGGTGTAAAAACAATCGCCAAGTCTTCGTGCAGTGGTTTACTGTGGCGACCCCTGAAGAAGGGAGCAGCCGAAAGAAGAAGAAAAAGTAAAATAGGTCAACATCGTTTTATTTTGTATATTTCGTTTTGGTGTTTTGGATAAGCTTCCTGGTGTTTCTTCACAAACCTGATGATGGAGCCAGAACAATAATCGTTTCATGACCCCGTCATATTGAGTCGTCTGAAGATTCCCATCACTTTAAACGAGATGGTCGTTACTGGTTTCGCACCTGAACTGCGTTTGTGTTGCTAAGCTAACTAGCCACCCAGTTGTTTATCCTCTAACCAATACTTATTTGGCTCATCCTCCTATCTCACCCCCCAAAAAATAATCTTTGCTTTCAACTATTTTCACTGTTTGTAATTTTTGTTTTGGGTTTAAGACCCGAGAAGAGAAAATGCAAACAAAGTAAAGTGGTGAAGCAAAAAAAATAATAATTAAACTTAAAAAAATAGTGTTTAAACTGTTTAAAAGCTTATAAGGTGGTTTCTGCTCTAATTAGCTATGAGATTGACTCGATCTTTCAAACTGCGATCGCTGATTGTCTGATGCAGGTAAGATATTGACTGATAACAACTCCACCCCTAAACATTAAAGCTATCACTTTAACTTGTGTTTACGAGTTGCATCTGTGTGTTGCACTGAATTATTTTTAAAGTAACTACATATTAAAATGTTTATAAGCAGAGTTTGTGATGGTTTTCTGTTTAAACCCAGCAGGTTTGTTTTATTGTGATAAAAGGGCGAAGGTTGAGTTCAATGCCCTCCAGTATATCTGGGGTCGTAGCGGTCACAAGCAGTATTTATTAAGTCCACAGTTCTGCTGCGTAGCTTTAAAACTGCTCATGTTTTATCTGTCGTGACGAATGGTTTTATTCACCGTACCTGAAGGCAGTTGTTTTTTTGTTCACTACTGGAAGAATAAAAGGTTAAATCCTGATAAGAAGCTACAGAACATGTGATAATGGGTTCAAAGCTCATTCCACCGGGAGACTTTTTGTTTTTTTGTTAAGAAAAAATACAAAACACTTAATTTAGTGGGGAAATGAGCTTTTAATTACAACAATCGTTAAAACAAGACGGTTTACAAAATATGAAAATTCTGTATGAGATGAATGTAAAGAAGTGATGCTTTGAATATGAAGACATTCCCATAAACACTTTCAAAAACATTTCAGATCTGGATTTAATTTTTTTTTTTTTTTTGAACCAGAGAAATTACATTTCCTGCCAAAAGGCCGAGTGCATGATTTTTGCTGAAAGCTGCTGAAGAAGCTGAAACCAACTGAAAAGGTTTCATCACTGAACTGTCAAAGCAAGTTCAATTTGAACAGGTGATATTTGCTGGAAGCAGGAAAATAAAAAGAGAAAAGCAACAGAAATGTGTGGAAACAACCGAATGGCCAAAATAACCTGAACTAGGCAGAGGCTAAATAAAGTACAAAATCTGAAGGGAGGAAATAACAGCTGAAATTAGCAGAAAGAGGCTGAAAGGAGCATAACGTTTGAATTTATTAGTACCAAGCACAAAAAGGTGGAAATAAAATTTAAAAAGAAGCTAAAATAAGTGTTTTTCTGCTAATTTTAGCCTTTTATTGTACTTCCCAACCTTTAAAAAAAAATTTTTTATGCTCCTTTCTGTTAATTTCAGACTTTTTCCTGCTTCAGCTACATTTTTAGATATTTTTCTGCTAAAGTAGTCGAAAAAGGGGGGGAAAAATAGCTGAATTTAGCATAAAGAAGCTAAAAAAAAAAAGTCTGAACCAGAACAACAGCTAAAATGAGCAGCAACAAGTTGTAAACAGCTCAAAGAAGTGAAGAGAGCTCCGTTCATTTAAATGCGAAGAACATGGCCGACAGAGCTAAATATTTCAAAAAGTAAAGATTGCACAAATGGACAAAAAGTGCAGAACGAGTTATGACAAATGGACCTCAGCAGTGAGAATGGTTTCTAAACATTGACTGGGTGATCGGCTGATATAATCCAGACATTAGCACAGAAAGAGTTCATCGTTGACCAGATTTAAACCCAGAAAGCTGCTAAATCAGTCTGGTTCTGTACAGAACAGCCTGGATCATGATCTATACCCACATATTTAGTTTTAATGTTAAAAAAATCCAAATGTACTTTAATAACTTGCATATTATCCTCTTTATTAACTGGTACGAGCAATTGAAATTGTCTAAATTGTCACTAAGAATGAGCTAAAAGCTAAAACTGATGACCATAAATCAATGCTACAATTAGTATAGTTAAAGATTTAGCCAAAATGAGCTAAAAGCTAAAATTGGCAAAAAAAACAAAAAAAAACTTGATGCTAAAAGTAGCAATACTATAGCTTAAAGGTAAAGCTAAGATTAGTAAAACTGTAGCTAGAAGCTAAAATTAGCAAGGTAGTAGCTAAAAGCTAAATGGTGTGTAACAAAAACTTGTTGCTAAAAGTTAACTAGCAAAACTGTTGGGAAAAGCCATATTAGCTAGATGCTAAAATTGGCAACTTAAATACATTTAATGCTAAACGTAGCAATACCACAGCTAAAAGCTAAAGGTGGCTAAAAGCTATGGTTACAAAAACTAGCTAGAAGCTAAATTTGGCAGTTCATTTAATTCAGTTTATTTCTATAACTCCAGGTCACGACAGAAGTCATCTCAGAGCACTGAACAGAAACATTTGCATAAATAAAAAGTAAGTTCATAACATTATTTATCTGAGACAAGACAGTAGCTAAAAGCCAGTAGGAGCTTAAAGATAAAAATAAAGCGAGTATGCCGATTCTGACGGGATTGACAAAATAATGCATTTCTATGGGATTTATATATTTTTAAAATATATTAAAAATAAATCCTAAAGTCAGATCAACTTTACACATGAATCATTTTAACTAGTCACACCATATTAGAAATATTATTTTTAAATAAATGTTATTGGTACTTCGAAGAACACCTAAAAATAATTTAAGCAGCAGATCAATGACATAATGTGATCGATTGTTTTTTTGTTTTTTAAATTGATGATGCAAGCACACATTCTGCTACTTGTTTTTCTTGGGATGTGGGTTGTGCCCAGCTGAATTTCCTTTTGGGGCAGAATCTGGTCCTTTTGCGTCTGGTTTGTGTCCTCCTTGCGCACTGGGAGGCCCGTTGCCTGGTTCGGAAGGAAAAAACACAAAATGTTTCCTCAGTGGCTCGCTTGTAGTGTGAGAAAAGTGCCTGGTGCCCAAACGGTCTGTGAAGAGCACTCACTGCAACTTCATAAAGATCGTTCAAACCAAGAAGTATTCACTCCCGCAAGTTCTGGGTCTGCCCTGGGGCCTCCTACCAGTGGGCCATGCCTGGACAGCCTCCAAAGGGTTGAAGGCATCTCAAAACAAACGAACCACCTCAGCCGAGCACTTTCGATGCAGAGGAGCAGCGGCTCTACTCTGAGCTCTTCACCCTCGCTAAGGATGAGCCCAGATCTTCTCATTTTGGATGCTTTTATCGTGATCCAAACCTCATAACCACAGGGGAGGGTTGAAACAAGGATAGACCGATAAATCCAGAGCTTTGATTTTTAACTCAAGCCTTTCTTCACCACAACCGACCAGAACAACACCCTCATTCATTACTGAAGGCGGTGCCTCGATCCATCTTCCTACCAATACTCCGGAACAAAACTCCACCTTAGGCCGATTTGCATTGTCTGAATTCTTCAACCAGCAGGACCTGGGGTGACAATTGCTACGTGGAGGGGGCGGGGCTTACAGCTTATACTCGAATACTTCCAGGTCCTGTCAGTTTTGATTCATTTGTTAATTCATGCGTCATCACGGGCTCACTGAATGTGCGCATGATGAATGAATGTGTGAATTGTTCTGAATGTTTTTTAGGATTTATGGAACTCACTTGTTTTGTGTCCCGTGAAAAGCGGAGAAGGCACGTAAAATCCCTGAGACTGGCCCGGTCTGAACTGTTGGGGGTTCAACACTGGCCGAGAATGAATGTAAAACGGAAAATTCATCGGTTGGATGAAGGGCTGCACGGGTGGACGACCACGACTTTTGGACCTCGACTGACGGCTCTGCTTCGGTGTTGCTGAAACAGGGAAGATGAAATGTGAGTCAGGCGACACGAACGCATGAAAAATATTTTTCACTCTTAATGAAGCTCTTCATATTTTCTTCCAAGCAGACAACGTTCTGGCAAACTTGATCAAATGTCTTGTATGCGCTAACAAATAAAAATAAACTATAAAATATTCTCAGAAAGACGGGATAGTCCAAGATACTGTTCAGGATTTATTTTCTAATCAAAACCTCAAAATTGAATAATCCATTCCTAATGATTTTTTATCTTTTTTTATTTAATTTTACTTTTGCTGCAGCATAAATTGTACCTTTTTAATAAAAATACAGACGTCATTTTAGTTTAGTTCACTTTCAGTCTGAAGTTACCAGATTAGAACATTTGAATATTTGTGTTTTGATGCTGCTGATAAGTCGTACGTACACGACTGAGGCCGATGCGTCACATTTTCAGGAGCTGCAGGTTCTTCTTTTGCACCTGAAAGAAACAAGATCTTTAAAATTTGCCCTTCATAATGTTATGAAGCTGTGACTTACTGAAATAAATAAATAAAAGTTGTGTTTTTTGCATATTTTGTGCTATTTTACCGTTCATACATCAAAACGTTCGGCTCATTTAGAGGATGGATGCAATGATTTTTTTTTGTAGCTAAATATTTCACTTTAGTTTGAAATATTTCCTCCATTGAATTACATCAAAATCTCTTCAACTCCTTCAAAACATCTGCTTCAACTACTGGCTCAGTTTTTTTGTTTGTTTTTTTATGCTACGTTTAGCATTTAGCTAGTGCTCTGTTTCTTTAAGCTTTAACAGCTACGTTTCATCAGACTCACCAGATGCAGCCGTCTTCGTGTCCACCTCTGTAATAAAATATAAGTATTAGCTGTTTTGTACATCGTGCGCAGAAACCTGAGACGGGCGCGCTCGCTCACCAGGTTTATGCAGCAGCGTCGCTCTGTCCTCAAACGGCCGTGAGAGGATCTGGATCAGACTCTCCTGCATGGCGGCAGCGAAGCTCTGCACCGCCGCCACCTGTTTGGAGTCCAGGTTGATCCGAGGGACGTGCGGGTCGAACTTCACCACCTTCGGCAGCTCAAAGGAGGCCTGCAGGAGCAGCAGGACGGTTTCATTTTAGCTACATTTCTTCAGCATACTTTGACTATTCCTACATCAAAACATTCAGTTTGATCAGGAAATGTTTGATCTGACTTTTGGCTTTGGTTAATTTTATACTTTTCAAAATATTTTAATTTAATTTTAAATAAAATTCCTCTCAAAAATAAACCAAAACCTCTTCAGTTCTATCAAAATATGCTTCAGCTACTAGCTCAGTTTTTGTTTTCTTATGCTTATTTTAGCTACAGTTTTTGCTAGTTTTAAATTTCAGCCAATTTTTGTTTTTAGTAATGTTTAGCTATTTTTAGCCTTTACAGCCGTTTGATGACATTTAGCATTTGGCTACAATTTAAATAATTAGAGATTTTAGCTACTTTTTAGATAAATATACTTTTAAAACACTTTTCTGCTAATTTTAACTTCTAATTGTAGCTTTTGGCTACATTTTTTTTATTTTTATCTTTTTGCTTTGGTTTAGCTGCTTTTAGCCACTGTTCTGCATTTTAACTTTTAGGTACCAATAAACATTTTAATTACCATTTGGCTACTTGCTGCATTTAGCTACTATTAAAAAAGAAGACTTAGTTACTTTAGTACTAATTTTTTTGTTTATAGATATAGTTCTGCCATTTTTAGATTTTTCTACCGTTTAGCTACTTGCAATGTTTAGCTACAATTGAGCTAATTAAGTGTTTTAGCTACTTTTCAGCAAATTTTAGCTTTCAGATACAGTAGTGCTGATTGCAGCTTTTGGCTACAATTTTTCAGATTTTAGCTTTCGGCTACAAGTTCATTGATTTAAGCTTTTAAGTTTTGCACTTTTACCTATTAGCTATGTTTTAGCCATTTTTAGCTTTTAACCACCATTAATGCTTTTAACTACCATTGGCTACTTTTAGCATTTAGCTACAATTTAGCTAATTAGCATTTTTAGCTACTTTTGTGCTATTTTTTGTGTTTTAAAGTAAAAATATTGTGATTTTATTTGATCCCACCTGTAAGAAAGCCGGAGTTTGGTCCTGACTCATCAGAGCGTTGACCTTCTCTCTGGCTGTCTTCATCCTCTCTCCGTTCTTCGTGAACCTCATCATGAAGTCTTGGAGTTTGGTCTGGGCGGCCTCCAGCTCACAGTTCACCTCCTGCTGGGCGACGCGCTCGTCCTGCTCCAGCAGTTCTCTCATCTGCTGATATATTTCACCCAAGCACATCTTCTTTTTCTCCGCTGCGTCCTGGACAGAGTCGGAGACAAATGAGCACCACCGCCCGGCCTGGTTCTGGTTCTGGTGAACTGCATGAACGTGTGAAAACCACCTTCAGTTGGCTCTGCAGCTCGACCATCTGAAGCACGACAGAATCCGTCCTCTCGATCTTCCCGTCCAGTAAACCCAACTTCTCTCTGAATTCAGTCTACGGAGAACCATTAGGGACATAAAATCAGCACAAAATGAACTCTTTGAATTTCTGACCTGACTGTGAAGAAGTTGATGGAAGCCATCTTTTTTTTTTTAGCAAACACACATTTTAGATGCTATAAAAAAAAGACAAGCAAGCCCAGTCCATGTCTCGGCATACCGCTGTCATACCTCTTTCATCCTGCACTGAAATAATCTCAATAGATGAGATTATTTCAGTGCAGGATTTCTTTGCGGCTCCACTGAGGTCCAAAGTCTGGTGGAGATTGCATAAAGCGTTCCAAGCTCATTTTTCCTTTAGTTTCATTTCACTGCTGCAGGACCAGCAAATGAGTGATGACACTCTAAACTAACGTGACAGATGTATTGTTGGTACCTTTTTAATCTGAACCAAAGTTTGACACCAGTTTAAACAGATGGGATGTTATTGATGGATTACAGCTGATGAATGAAGGTTTCTGGTTTAGCTAATTTTGTTTTTATTAATATCGCATAAAAGCCACGTTCAGTTCAACCTCAACATTAAATTGAACTAAACCTCAAAGACTTGGACAATAAAGATTTTATGTTGTAAAAATAAAGTTTAAAGGAGTCCATGAATGTTTGTTACAGAGTTTTAGGAAGTTTGAGTTGTAGCCTTCTGTTAGTGATGTGGTATGACTCAGCTACTACCAACCAAAATGTAGCTCATTTTTGTTTGGCAGTGGCGGCCACATTAGCTCTTAAAGATTAATAAGTTGTGCTCAGGGGGTGTTGTGGACAATGCTCAGCTACTACACCAACATTTGTAAAACTGACAGAGTTCGGTTTGCTTAGGTTGACAAACTGTGGCGGCCATCTTTAAAGGAGCTAACTTGAAGGGTTAATCAGCTGTAGATGTTCAATCGTTACTTACTCTCTGGGAGTTTCATTCAGATCCAATTACCGGATCGCGACATATTTTGCTAACAGACGCAGAGACGCACCTGCTTCCGGCTCCTCTGCTCCTCCGGGGCGGAGAAGCTGCAGCCCCTGTGCACCTGCTGCAGACACAGGCTGCAGATGAGCCGGCTGTGGGCGCAGCAGAAGTGCTCCATCAGCTTGTGGTGCTCGGCGCACACGCGCTCCGAGAAATCCGCCCCGGGCTGGCTCAGCTGGTGGAGGCGGAAGGTGGGGTTCTCCAGGTGGGGCCGCAGGTGCTCCTCGCAGAAGGAGGCCATGCAGGTGAGGCAGGTCTGAGCCGCCTCGGCCTCCATACAGGTGTCACAGCGGATCACACCCTTCGTCTTCTCCTCCTCCACCTCGGGTTGGCTCTCCTCCACCAGAACCACGGATTGGCTCTTGTTGGTCCGGATCCTGAAGGTCTCCACCACGGTGCTGAGGACCGTGTTCTTCTTCAGCTCGGGTTTGGTGGCGAACAGGGTCCGACACTGCGGGCAGCTGTAGGAGTCCTTCCAGGTGGCCAGCAGGCAGTCCCGGCAGAAGTTGTGTCCACAGGGGATGGTGACCGGACAGATGAAGGTGCTCAGACAGATGCTGCAGGTCAGATCCTCCTCCAGACCCACCAGAGAAAACTCAAGTTCCTCCGCTGAGGCCATCATGGAGCTTTGAGGCTCACGGAGGAGAAACGCAACTTAAGATCCCGGAACCCGCCCAGCTGCTGACGTCACATGACTCTTCACAGCCGCTCCCAGAACAAAGGCTATAAATTAAATCCTGTTGCATGCTCAATAATCCAGGTAGATAATCTGGTTGAGTCAGGTCCTCTGGACGGATTCTTCTTGTTGAAAAGTTTCAACTTTTATCCAAAAGACTTCAGTCTGAGGAACAAACTCAGTCTTCTAAATCTTCTCAGTGGATCAAGTTTGTTGTTCACAGCCAGAACCAGATGTTCACATGATAAAGGACCGTCGACCTAACGTCCGATCGTTAGTGCCCTGATGGTCGCTTGCTATTCACAGAGTGCTTCTAGCAATAACTGCATTACACTTTACCCAGGATGTGCACATCTTCATCCCTGAAAGAGTGACCGCTGGCCTGGAGATGAGTGTAGACCGCAGAGTCCTGGCCTGATGATGGTGCTCTTCTGTGCTGGTCCATCCTTTTGGCCAGTGGCTGTTTAGTTTCCTCGATGTAAGACTGATCACCCTCCTGACACTGAACAGCATACACAATATTACTCTGTTTGTGTCGGGGGACTGGATCTTTGGGATGAACCCAAAAGTGGAGAGGTCATGAGTTTTAAAGTTAAGGTTTTCTATGTTCTGTTAGCAAAATATCTCGTGAACCACAGAACATTATCAACTCACATCTACATATGTGAAACGTTTGGAGTAGATCCAATTAAAGATGGCCGCCACAGCTAAGCGACATTATCACACAAGATGGTGACAACTCAGTCGTTTTTTTCTAGATGTTGATTTGGAATTTAGTGTGGTGGTAGTTGAGAGTCATTCACAACTCACACTCTGAGCGCAGCATATTAGCTAAACACCTCGGAATAAACTGTTTTTAAACCGCCTGTTAGCAAAATATCTCATGAACCATTGGATGGTTTTCAATGAAACATTCAGAACCGTCTCAAGGGACGCACATCTACAACTGGTTAACCTTTTACATATTTACAGATCGAGCTAAAGTCTGGGGTGGTAGTAGATACGAATAGTCTCCAACACTTACTCTGAGCTCAACACCTTATGTTACAATTTTGGCCTAAACTGTTGGTGTCAAACTGTCTGTTAGTAAAATATTTAATACAGTGAATGCAACATGGTTTAGGTTAAGTAAAGGCTGCGGTGTTAGTTCCTAAAAAGGTTTTATTCTTTACACAAGGCAGTGAAGACACGTTTGTGTTTAAGAGTTGCTTTTATTATTTATGAATTCACAACAAAATAACAGTTTTCACCGACAACAGTCGCCAAGTTTGGTTCAATGTTTAGATGAATAAAAGTCTGAAAACGTTTAACACCAAATAATGAGCACAAAACAGATTAAACACAATAAACTTTAATTTATGAAGATCGTTTTCTTAAAACTTTTGTTTTTGAAGTCAAAGACCTCACGGAAAACGTCTCCGCGAGTTTCAAACTGTTTCAAGCGAAACGAGATGAGGACAAACAGATGCAGGAAAAATAAAAACACTTTTAATAATTATTAATCCACAACGAGAAGTGCTGCAAGGATCACCTGTTCTACATCAAGCATCGTTTATTTATCCCCGTAAAAACCAACATGTCGCCGCGTCGCCCTTCACCGAACGGCGAGCCATCGCAGCGTCGGCCGCGCGTTTTATTTCTGCGAGGAAAACGAGCGCGACGGTCCAAGTTCAACTCCAGACCTGGAACGAACGTCGAATCGCTCAAACTCCCGATGAAAACCCGAACTCTGACCCGAACAGTCGGCCTCGCTTCCTGATTAGAACAGAGTCTATGTGACGCCGGTTCCAATCAAACCGCTTCACTAAGAAACACGTTCATCAGTCCTCAGGCAAAATAAACACTCAAAAGTTTTAATATTCTCAGAGATTTATCTCCATACATCCTCCGAGCTCCTTTTCATTTCGGTCAAACGGTTGCTCTAACGGAAGCGAAACGAAGATTTCCCTTTTAGCTCGTGAACTCCAAAGTCTTTACCCAAGACGTGACAAACACTGAAGACTGCGACCCATCCCATCCAAAGAGCCTTATTTATAATTATATTCCTGTCGTGGTTATACGTTTTAAATGTTGTTCGTTTTTGCTGCTGCACAGGGACCGGATGTGGCTCCAGAGCCGTAGGTTGCAGACCCCTGCGCTAGTTCGCTGCTGCTCGGTGGTCAGCTTCTTTAAACGGTCTCAAACACTCCCTGGGTTTCTTATTAAAACTAAACCCAGTAAAAAAAACAACGAACGCTTTGAATCCACCAACAAACGGTTCTGCCGTCTCACCCGAGCTGAGACGAAGCACTTTCCATCGTCGTCCTGACGAACTCGTATCTGAACAGCAGATTTGTTCCAGTTGGAAAATATCGCTGCGCCCTTTCCGTTTCGAACTAAATCGATCTTCCATCCTGCTGGAATCAAAGAAAATTCGGCTGTTTTTCCTTTTTTTTTCTTCCCTCCTGCTCACGAGGTGTGCCGTTAAAAACAAATGCATGTCTTTAAACGCATCACCGAGGGACCGGCGCTCATGCGCGACCCAGTCACCGATAAACGCTCTCAGCAGGAGCGGTTCTGAAAATTTCAAACCCCCCGACAAATCCAGACCAACTAGAGCTGAGCAGGACGAGCGAAAACATCTGGTTTACTTCGCATAGTTTGATTTCTGCAGGTCGTCTAACGGACCACCCGCTGCTTTTCTCTACTCCAAGAGCAAAGAAGTTCGAGTTTTTCTATTCAGCTTCATTTTCATGGTCACATGACCACAAACCCACCACCAGTAAACGAGCGTACGCCGCACCAAACGTTAACGACGACGTCCGTTCGTTCTGCGATGCTTTAATCCGTCGTTTAACTCAAACTGGATAAAAGCATCGCTTCCATTTTCCCAGAGTATTAAAAAAAAAAAACCTTCATAGAAACGTTCAACACATACCCGGGAAGAAACGATACAAGACGGGTGAAAAAGTCCCGGACAAAGACTCAACCAACCCTAAAGAGGAGCAGATTAAAATGTATAATCTGACTCCTGAGACATCCAAAGAACTGCATGGTTGTGTAGTTCATCTGCAAACCTTTGCAGGTAATCCACACTTTAGATGTGTGTGTGTGTGTGTGTGTGTGTGTGCGCTACCGCTGCTCTAAAAGTAAAATTTCCCCGAGCTGTGAACGTTGACTAGTTGGTAAAACCTTCGTAACGGATTTTTTTCCCCAGATTAAATCAGAAATGCGAGGCCGGTACGACGCAACGAAATAATGTGCGCGGCCAAGAACGCAGCTTTGTAAACCGCTCACGTTAAAACGGGCCGTCGTTTTAAAAAACGTGGCCGTGCGGCCTTCTGGTCGCGACCGTTCAGAAGTCAGTGCACGTGCAACAGCGTATTTTCTAAGAGTTGCAGCTCGGTGAGATCCCACCTTTAGAGAAACTCGTTCTTCCTGATTTAACTGGTTTTCATTGTTTTTCTGTTGCTCGTGTCAGCGATTAGTATTAAAAGTAGCGTGTGTGTGTTTTGGTGCATGCACGGTTTTCAACTCACTACTGAAGCTTGCACAAACTGATAAAAGAGCCACTGGAGAAGATCCAGAAGGCCGGATAGACGGCCTCGGCGAAAGGAAACGTAAACGAGTGGAAGGGATAGGCTCTGTCGGACACGTTGTAAAACGTAGCCCTGCCCTCGTCGCAGTCCAACAGCACACCGACCCGCTTCGGGTTGGGGTTAACCAGCACCACCTCCTTGCTGTTGTGCCAGGCAGACAGCTTCACGTTGAACCACTCCACGCACCACGACTTGTCGTTGCGGCCCAGCCGGCTGTTGGGGCCTTTGCGGTCGATGCTGCCGTAGGCCAGGCCGATGCCGATGAAGTTGTTGCTGCTCAGTCGGACCTCCCAGTAGTGGCGGCCTGCGGAGAAGCCCTTGGAGGCCAAGACCTGGGAGCAGACGAAGAAGCGCTCGGGGCAGTCGGCGTAGTTCGTGTGCTCGTCTGAGACGGACGCTTTAGTGGAGTTCTCACTGAGCACGATGCGTTTATGGGCCGTTCGGTGATCGAAGGTGAGCACGGAGCCGTCTACAAAGAAATGACAGAAGAATTCAACTGAACATTTTCACTGAACACCAACGTCAAGACGGTCGAGATGTTGATGAAAACAGAGTCCATGATTTACAGATCTCATGGAAATATAAAAATAAGGTCCATTTTAGAGGGGGAAAGCTATACTGGATTTTATGGGAACAGTATGTCCTCTGAAGAGGACCTGAGGAGACCAGTTGTTGGAGGTCTTGAAGGACCCGAGGAGACCAGTTGTTGGAGGTTTTGGAGGATCTCAGGAAACCAGCTGTTAAGAGATTTAGGAGGATCTGATGAGACCAGTTGTTGGAGGTTCTGTAGGACCTGAGGAGACCAGTTGTTGGAGGTTCTGTAGGACCTGAGGAGACCAGTTGTTGGAGGTTTTGGAGGACCTGAGGAGACCAGTTGTCAGAGGTTTTGGAGGACCCTGAGGAGACCAGTTGTTGGAGGTTCTGTAGGACCTGAGGAGACCAGTTCTTGGAGGTTTTGTAGGACCTGAGGAGAACAGTTGCTGGAGGTTTTTTGAAGACCTGAAGAAACCAGTTGTTTGAGGTTCTGTAGAACCTAAGGAGACTAGTTGTTAGAGGTTTTGGAGGACCTGAGGA